AAAACAGATTACCTTTACTAATCTGAGGCTAGTTTTAGAGTGAGCGACAATATTAAGACTGCTTTGACTGGACTGATGGATCAACAAAGCAAATAAGTTGATTCTTGAAGTTCAGCAGTTTTTGATGCCAGCAACTGTAGATTCTTTGTGGATCACCAGAGAGATTTGGGAATAGGAGGTGCTGTTTTGAAATTTAAGGTAGACTTCAGATGATGTCACTTGGAGAGAGTTGTTCTTCGAAAGTATGTCCCTAAAGGCTCTGTTCTGTCTCCAGTAGCTTTCAGTGCTTACGTAAAATCAGCTGGGGAGATCATCAAGAGATTTGAAGCTGGGCAATGATACAACTTAACCTTACTTAAGTCTGGGGCTCTCTTGAATGTTTGCCTGCAGGATAATTTTGTAAATTGAGGTTGAATTTAGATAAGATGGAAGAGGTCTTCTTTGTGAGGAATCACAATTTCAGTGAGGTTGTAAATCTCTAAGTTCTGGTGGGGTTATACTTTCCAAGAATAAGGAGATACGCAGTTTCAGTATGTTTTTGGATCTGAATCTCTTTTGGGTTTCTCAAATTTAGGCAATGGGCAGGAGTGCCTTTCATCAATTTTTGTTGATAAGTCAACTGTTTCCCTTTCTGGAAAATGACCTTAAAACTACAGTGCACGTGTTGATAACCTCCAGGTTTGAATATTGTAAAGTGCTTTATGCGGGGCTGCCTTCATGTTTCGTCTCACAGAGAGGTGAGCACTGTTCAGATCTACCATGGGGAAGAGTGTTTTAGGCGTCCTCTCTGTATCCATCAAGTGCTCTTTTAAGGAACTGCACCTTTTCAGGAACCAGTACCAATACTTACCAGGGCTGTGGGTTTGAGTTAAGGAGGCAGTGCCAGGATGGAACAAGCTGGACCAAAACATCCTTGCCAGTGCTGCACACTTCTGGTATGGAAACTTTAATTAATGTAGAACTTAGCATCTAAGATGGTCTTTGCGAGAATTTAAAAGGAATCACATCACAGATGGGCTCAAAGTATCAAGGTGACTACCAGTTTATTTCCTGATAATTATAACTTGACTCAGTTATTTTTGCCTTATGTTCCTTGGGTCCAGGACTTCAACTCCCAGAATTCCCCAGTCAGCTTACTGAGGCATACAATTATCTGGAAACAAACTGCAGTCATACTGGCTGGGGAAGTTCAATTCTGGGAGTTGAAATCCACACCTGTTAAAGTCACCCAGGTTAGGAATCCACTGATGGATGCACTCACAAAATGGCTGCCATGGTAGGCAAGGCTATTTGCCCCACTCTTTTTTTACAGGGAGGCAAACTAGCTCTCCACTATGGGATCTAAAAGGATTCCTGCCAATAAATGTCCGTATTTAATTCAGGTGAGATAGCGTCTAGTGGGCACCAGTGAGCTGTCTGGAGCACTTTCCTCAAACACATATGCAACATGCATTGAGATAATTTGAGGAGCCTTCTCTGTAGCCTTCCTGGGTCCTTGGAATGTACTCCCTTCTATTGACTCTTTATTGGTTTTTGAAAATGTTAAAAAAAACCCACATTTTTTAAAGAGGCTTTTAATATGTCTGTGTTTAACTACAGTTTTTAGTTTTTTATTGTAAACTGTTAAGTCACTTTGGTAATTGGTGTCTAATGAGCCTAATAATCAGTGTGTGTGTATGAATGTGTGACATGGGTATATTTATTTGCAGCAAAATGTACTTCAGCACTTGTTTCATGTTTCCATGTACATGCTTCTTGCCAACATGGAAATGCTTTTGGTTTAGGAAGAACATAATTTATGAAGTGGCTTTTGCTTTATGAAAATATTCAAGTAATTCACCAGATGTAACAACTCCCAGGCCTTATGCAGACTGGATTTAAAATGTCTCGTAGTCCTCTCTCCCCAGAATAAAATAATCTTGCAACATGTAGTCCAGATTATGCACCCTTATTCTTTCTGAATAAATATCACTCTTTGATTCTTTGTTTGTAACTACTGCTGTGAACGAAAATTTTTCTTTTGAAGCAGTATCAGCTATCTTTTTTTTTGGCACTTTCAACCTGATACTATTATCATGGTCATCTACGTTAGGCTGAACACTAACAGTGCTGAAGGTTTCTCCCATGGTGGTTCTGCCCAGTGGAATGACAGCCATAATTAGCCATAGTTTTTTGGGCACCTTCAGTGTCAGCCGTTAACTAGCAGCCTTTGCAGTGATTGCGCAAATCACATTGGGGGTTTTTTGGAGGGGGGGATTGGCCATTAAAAATCCTGTAATGAAGGTCCATTGAAGTTAGCGCCACTCTACAAGCAGTTGGAAGGCTGGATCTCCTCCTACCCCAACTGGCATTTCTTTTACCTCTTGCAAGAGTACAAGAGTTGAAAAACAAGCTATGAACAGTGGAGCAACTTTGCTTCGCAGCAACTCTAGTTTCTTTATTTAGAATCCCAAAGGAGAGGTTAATCATATGTCAGCCTTCCCACTGAGGTTTGCATGATGTGTAGAGCCATTGCTCAGGTAAGATAATTTACAATAAACCAGGAATGCAAATTGTAGTCAAAGTGCTCTTGCCTTGGTCTTAAGCGACTGTTAAGGTTTGGATCTCACACTAAGCATAACCTGCCATGATTTAGAGCGGTGCTTCTCCAACTGGGGAATTCTGGTAGTCGAAGTCCACACATCTTAAAGTTGCCGTGTTTGAGAACCACTGATTTAGAGCATCCTGTGAGCTGCGTCACAGATGTGCACTTGCACTTTAGCAGACTAGTTTGTTCATGGAGAATGGACATTGGCAGATAAATCATAGGTTGGGTTTATTCATTTTTCTAGACTATAATGCGCTTTATGTATTTCTTTCTAGCTTAGTATGTTAATACGAATCCAATCACAGTGTGGCCCATGGATTATGGTTTAGTGTGCTGGATGAATGGAGCCAACTGCCGTTAATTCAATAAGCCGTGGCTCTGTATGTTGTATCCACGCAGTCCAAGACTGACATGCTTATGCTTGTCTGATAAGAATACAGTACCAGCACTTGAAAAGACCAGGTTTGTGTTCCCAGGGACCTGCAGCTATGGAAGTGTTCTTACAGAATGCATTCTTGAAATTATTTATTTATTATGAATGCTTCTATGCCACTTCAGATAATAGGGCTGTAAACACTTATGCAGTTTCCCCAAAACATTCAGCCAACCAGTAACCACGTGGGATTAGTCTGGATTGCCCAACACCTTAGGCTAAAATATAAATAACTAATTTGTGATTCAGTGTGTATGAATGCACCTTCTGACCTTGTGTGCTGAGGAGATTATTAGTAACATGCAATTGCAATGGATTGTAAAGGGCAGCCTTATTTGAAGGCGACCACATTGGGAAAAGGTGACCTAGTGCAAGTGACATTTTGTTTAAACCACAAAGTCTTTGGAAGTTAATTGAACTGATGGCAGTTCGGTGTTAAGTCCTTATTCCAAGACTCGCTTTTAGAGGAGTCATTCCTTGGCAGAGTTTGTCATAGGCTGAGAATTGTTGCAAATCATTTGTACAGTGTATCCTTTTAAAACCACAGCGTAGCAACTAGACAACACAGAGGTGTCTCTGGAGCTCTTCCTGAGCCTGCCTAAGTCACCGACCCGGTCTTGGGTGAGTTTCCGAGGCTGGCTTCGTGACCACGGATGGAGCCACGAAGTAGCCACAGCGACAGTTTAGCCTCGCCTCTTGCGCCAGCCCCGGCGGCGTGTTTCGTCTCCTCTCGGGGGGAGCCCAGAAAAGCGAGTCCCTTCATCAACCGGTATCCAGGTAGCTGCAGGTGAACGCGTCCCGGGAACCCAGCCAAGGGCCGGGGCGGTGGGAACCTGTTGAGCCCGCCAGATGCGGCCGCTTCCCCCGCCTGCTCTCCCGGGGCGCCGCGCTCTCCCTCAACCTCGAGGCGCGGCCCCGGAGGGAGCGCGTGCTGCCGCCCGGCCGCGAGCGGCCCCGATGGATGCTGTCCTCGCCTCACCCGCTCCGGAAAATGACGGCGGCGTAGCCCTCGCCTTATAAAGTCAAAATGCACCCGGTCGCCCGGGGGAGGGGGGCGAACGCGCGGCTTCCAGGGGGCGATCGGAGCCTCTCGCAGGAGCATCGCCTCGGGCGCCCTCAGCCTCGCGCCAGGCATCCGGGCGCAACCAAAGCCGGGGCTCGCTCCGGTCCCCCGCAACGCCTTTTATTTAAAAAAAGAGAGAGAAGCAGCAACAACGCTTCGCTTCCGCCTCGGAGCCCCGTCTGCTTTCACCGCCCCCCCGCCTTGATTTCCCTCCGGTCGGATCCGCGGGCGCGGGGAGTCCATGTCGCAGCTTGCGCCCGCCCTGCTGTCCTCCTGGCTGCGCGCAAAGCCCAGATAGGAGACCCTTTGTTTGGGAAGCCGAGCGAGCGCTGTGGACAACGGCTTGCCTCGCTTTGTCATTGGCTCGGCCTTTTCTGGAGGTCCTCTCCCCACCCCCACCCCCGC